GTAATAAGCGAATGAACAAATCAGCATACTATTACCGATATTATTTCTGTATGTCTTAAGTATATATTTCAATTTATAATAATATTGTTATCATCTTTTTATTGTAAACAAAGAGACACTGATATTGAATTCTGTGTTATTTTAGCAGTCATGATTCATGAATATTATTAACATTTAAATATTTGTGAGAAATCAATACCCGACAATTGAGGTAAACCTATGCATTGAAATAAAAATAAAAATTTAATTTTTCGAAAATATAAGATATTATAAATTGGAAATTTTGAAATTAAGTATCATCGCTATCGGTTTCATGCTGCTCTCGAGGTTCTTCTTCCATTGAAGAAACTGTGTCTATGTTTCTATCAAAATAATGATGATTCCAAGGTGGTAACCATCTATTTATGAACCACCAGTGCACGGATAATCTGCCATGATTACATTCTGCTCTTTCGCATCTACCAAGAAATTGACATATCCCAGTAACGCTTCCACTCTGATTTCTAATGCACGAATCATCACATGTATGTTGACGTTCCGTTGAGCGATTAGTAGGGCAAACAGAAGCACGCGAAGTAGGATTGTGTAGTGGGAACATTAGTCTGACATTCGATGATGCACTAGATTCATTGACTGTGGATGTAGGTGCCGACATATTGGATGTCGAGGCACCGGGATCTATACTATTGGATAAATTTCCTCCGCCAGTTGTATTTCCAAGGGCCGAAACAGAAGGTCTACCAATATGAACTGTAGCATAAAGGGGATTATTAACTGATGGACTACCTCTACTAATCCAATCAAGATATCTATTGAACTGAGCGGAAGAATTACAATTAGGTAGAACTTTGCATCTACACGAACAATTATTAGGATTTCTACAATGACATTCCATTCTCAAAGATTCGGTAGGTCGACATGGCATAACAGGCAGTTTCACATAAGAATATTCACCACGACAAACAGGGCACCTACAGTTTCTTGGCAACTGGTATATGTAATGTCTAGAATTACTTGCAAATCCATCTTGATGACGTAATCTGTTGTGTAGATTATGGCAATGATGACACAAGTATCTCGGATCTAAATGTCTACAAAACGAGCGTGTGCAGTTGGAACCAAGTGGATAAATGGCACGTCCAGTTGACGCGTAAGCAATATTTTCAGTCGAAAAACAGTTGCGACCTAGTCTACCTAATCTATTCTGACAAAATTGGCTAGATAATCGCGATGAATCTAAATAAAATTGCCTAGACTGATCGTATTGATTTCTAGGTTCCATGTCATTTAGAAAATTTGGAATATAATGATTTAAAATATGGTATTTGTAACAACGGGAATACATTCTACCACCACAAGAATATCGATCATCTATTCTTTCATATGTATGATCACCTACATGGCCCTGATTATTTTGAGCTACGGGTTCATTACGAACAACTTCACCATTGTTTTCATTATGTTCTCCATCATCGTCGTCGTTATCTAATCTCTCGTAAATGTTTTCTTCTGGTTCTTGTGGTTGTCGATTCCGATTATAATTATGAACCAAATCCACTGGGTTTTGGTAGTTTGGATTGAGATTTGGATGCACTTGTACCGAGCCACCAGGGCGGTTTTGGAAGCCCCGTGAACCATGACCTATGTTCTGATAGGTATCATCTCTTTCTTGATTATTTCTATTCTGATTCATGACAGCGGCTACCACTTCACCATTTTCATACCTTTGACATACACAACGTGAACCTTGACAATTATGTCCAGTACCACGATATTGCTGATGTACATTTTGGTCTGGATTCTGGACTTGCACACCGCTGGGCCCGGCTTCCCGTGATTGATCCGATGTTTCGGCACCCGGGTCATTACTCTGTTCTAACACATGCCCAGCGGATTGCAATCCTCACATTGATGCTATAGACGGCATTGGTTTATCGATTATTGCCACTCCTGCGTAACTACGACCGATTCCCATACTAGTTGGAAGAGTTATCCACGTATCTGTTCTTGGAGAATATACTTCTACTGATGCCAGACTCGATGAACCGTCATCACCACCCACCACATACAAAAGACCGTTTAGTGCAACAACACCTATAAAATAAAACATGCATTTTCATAAATACAACACACAAGTAAATTTTAACCAACTGGTAACCATAAGAGTATCAGTGCGTTTTTCACCAAGGAGAAGTAAAGAGCAAGATTATCTCTAGCTCCATATATCTTGATGATTTTATGTTTTGCAAAGTTACTGTTACAACTAACATAATTTAATAATAAAATTCCTTACCAGCATTTCTACGACAAAGAGCCATATCACTAACTGAAGTCCACTGATTAGTGTCGGGATTGAAAGCTTCTACACTTTTTCTAACTAAAGGACCATCATGCCCTCCTACAGCATATAGAATTCCATCTAGAACTCCAACTCCGGCGCCACTACGACGTGCAGACATATCAGGTACAGGTTTCCATTGATCTTTTTCTGGATTGTAACACTCGACACTGGAGAGACAATGCCTAGATACTCCATCGTAACCACCAACCTACAGCAATATAGGTCTCGATTTGAAAAATTTAGAAAGACTTCCAAAATTTTCTCAATTTCATTATTAAGTTAATTACAGCATATAATAATCCTTTGACAACACCCACGCCAACACTACTTCTACGTGTTGACATTGGTGCAATCAATCTCCATTCGTGCGTTCTCGGATCGTAGACTTCAGCAGAATTTAGACCAGTTGATCCATCAAATCCACCAACCTATATTTTTTGTACATATATTTAACAATAAAAAAATATTTACAAAAATAATTAAAAACATCGTGTATATATATGTTGATGAATATAAATATACGTATACGTATGTACGTGCATGTGTGTATATATAGAATTTAAAAAAAAAGGGTAATACTTATAATAACATATATTTATGTGAAATGAAAAAAATAAATTATGTACAGCATAAATGCAATTTCCAAGGACTGCTACACCAAGTGTTGATCTTCGTGCTTCCATTTCCGGACAAGGTGACCACTGATCTGTAGCTGCATCATAAATATCAACTGTTCGCACTCTAAGAGATCCATTAAATCCTCCAACAGCATATACGCGACCACCCAGGACGGATAAACCTGTTATATGATAAAAATTACGTAATGATATACAAAAACTATTATATATTTTAATATTATTGACCAAAATATAGGCGTTACTCACCAGCTCTACAACGACGTGTAGGTAATTCAGAAACTTGGTACCACCTTTCTTCTTTAAAATCGTAACATTCTACGCTTCTAATTGCTTTTGGAGCTTGCCCTCCAACAACTAACAAAACTTTAGGTAAATCCCTTGGTTGTCTAGGTTTCGTACGAGGTGTTTTAAACAATGACTTTTGTTCTCCTTTAAGTAAATGATACTTCAGTGCTTCAATCAAAAAATCCTTACCTGCATAGAAAAAATATTTCAAAAAGCATATTTTTCGATTTTCTCATGTCAAGTATTAATGATATAAAAATATCATAATACTGGTTTCTTTATTTACATTGTAAATTTGCCTTAAGAAGTGGTTCTTCCTCCACATGTTGTACTAAATATTCCTGGGATAATAATGGTAAGCGTACATGCTCCATTAATTGTGCTAAGTGTGCTTGTCTATTTTCTAAATCATGATGTACCCATGATATTACACATTCAAATACTTTCTCTTCTGAAGGTACCATTAAGCGATCACTGCAAATTAATTTAGCTACCTGCTGTGGCGCCAATGTTAAAAATTCTTCACCATCCACTACCTCCCTGTATGTATAGTAAAAGATTTAGCATTCAAACATACAGCATATTAGTTAAATAAAAATAAACTATGTTAATGTCTTACGAAAAATGTTGTTCAATATAACTATCCGCATGTGACAATAATTCTAGACAACCATGAAGGTCTGCAAATGCACGAATTCCTAAACAATTTGATGGATGTAGTTGAGCTTGTAAAAAGTCACAACATGCATCACGAACATCAGTTAATTGTAGAAGGTTGGCAGCTGGTAATAACACTTGTACATTATCTTCAGTTACATGAACTTCTGCAGAATATACATAATCCACCAGTAATTCAAGTGCAGAATAATCTACACCTTGTAATGTTATTCTTTTTTGATCTCGTTCCTCGAAACTTGTAAACATAGCATAAAAATAAGGGCTGCAAGCGGCAAGAACCATTTTATGTGCAGCTACTTCTAAGCCTCCGTCTGCCACCAAAATTACATCACATAATAAATTTTTCCTGTTAAATAATCACATTACATTATACTTTCAGTATTAAATATAAATTCAAATCATTGCAATAATTCAAACAGAGACTCTAAAATGATTTTCTCTGTTTTAGATATATATGTTAAATTTCTAATTCTATGTTCAAGCAAGATGTTTAAATAAAATATTTTATATTGTATATTTCATACTTTCGCATTTCATTAATGACATCAAAGGCTCGGTTTGTATGATGATGATTCCTATATGGTGGTTTATCCCTTCCACTTTCACGGGGTATGTGCTTCTGTGAGCTTTCATCCAAAGAATTTTGGCTAGCATATCGGAGTAACAAACAACTAGAAGAAAATAATGTGTTATTTCTCCAAGAGAGAATATTCCAAACAGATGAAAAAAAAAAAAACGGTTGTTTTCATTATTTCAAAATAGCAGTTAATATGTCAATGTATGGACATAAATGGAAAGATTACAAAATTGAACAAATTAAATAATTTTAAATTAACAAAATTTTTGAAATGTAATCTTACCTCCCTTTATTTTCAGAATTATCAGTATTGTTGGAGACATTTTGCACCTGATTTTGTCCCGTCGATTCCATTTCAGTTTTTTGAACTTTTAATTATGTTGGAGAATACGTTTTATCTTAATTAACGACACAAACATAGCTCCAGTTCATTTGTTTGTATAAACATCGTTTCGCTCAATCATAGTCACAATCAAGCGTGGAATCAGCTGTGAAAGAAACGAAAACGACGCTACCGATTTGACATTATCGGCTTAATACACCGCTATGTGATATGACATTTACAGATATATGTCGCGTAATATTTGATCGAAGAAATGAGATAAAAAATGCTCAAGGAAAATTATAAACTACAAAAAGCAGGAGATAATATTGTGATAAATAACGTAAGCACTACATTGAGCTTTCTTATTTAGTTCCCGAACGTCGTTTACTGCTGCTTGTTACTTTCGTTAATGAAAATACATGCTGGTGTCGACATCTGCAGTATATCATATGAATAACCTTGTTTCTTTAGATTTTAATTTAATCTTTATTTTTTAATGTCATTAATATATTTGGGAATTAAATGCATGAGTATATATTACAGCTTTTGGAAAAATAAAGATAAAATACAAATTACAAATATACTACAATATAAATATATAA